TTTGTCCCCTTTTGCCCACTTCATTAACTCATTCTATTTTGTATGCCTATAAGTATCAAGAATTAATTCCAGCACTGGACATATGGCTACATGGAAAAATATGGCCCTTTCTGTCCTGAGGGCCCAGATGTAACTGCAAAGGTAGCATAGCATGCTCAAGGCAGAAACAAAACTATTTCAGAACTAGTTTTATGGAGTTTGTTTTCTTTTTTAACTTTCCCACGTTACCTTACTAGAACTTCAGAGCCATGGTTCATGTCTAGTGACTTGCCTTAGCATTGTTTGAAGTGAAAACATGAATAGGATAAAGAAAGATACTTCTGTTTAAGGAATTTTTAGCCTCTGAATAGAAGGAACACTGTATATCCTGTTTTGTCTCAAATCTTTTTCACAAGGGTTAATGATCTTCCAGCTAAATAGTTAGATTTAGGTGGATGGAAGCTAGAGATAGGAGATAAGAAACTAATTAAAAAATTTTGTGCTCTTTTACAGATATGTCACCACAATTATGGTTGTAGAACTGATTTGCTAACAGATGGTTTGTGAAAACTTAGAAAAGAATAATTGGCATTTCTGTAGTATTTTACATTATCCATAATACTTTAAACTGCTTAGTGTAGTATCTGGCAGTAACTAAAACAACTGATGCTAGCTTGCTATTATTAGTCAAGTCATCACCATCATCTTCCTAACATAATACTAAGTATCATTAATATTTCTGTTTCACAAATAAGGAACCTGAGGCTCAGAAAGACCTTTCATGACATTCAAGGGAGCCAACTTGGATCTTATTTTTATGTCCTCTAAATCCAAATCCAATTCTCCCCCTTTGTAGTGCAGTCCGTCTTGATTTTAGCCAGTGACTAAAGTGTGGTTAGCCTTGACTGTTAACATAGGGATAGACTTGATCTAGTCATTCTAGAGTCTCCACATTTTTCCAAGGTAGTGGATTAGGGGGGAAGCTGGGAGAGGGGTGAGAAGTTGGAGGTGGGACCAGTTAGGAGACTGTTGCATAGGTCAGATGTCTCAGATATGAGTTATTTAGGGGATGAAAGTGGTTTTATAGTGGGAATGAAAACAAAGGGACATATTTTCTCACATCCAATTCTTGCTCTGCCCATCCCCTGAAATCACTCATATACTAGACCTATTGTTACAACTTCTCATCTTAACCTGATTAACTACTGGAGACTATGGAAGATTTTTTGCTTTACACCCATTCTCCCTTGCTTCCACCATGATTTCTTATAACTGTTTCCAACTTCTTTTACTTCAGTATTGAAGTAAAAGTGGAACCTGTGAAAGTATCTATAGTTCATCATTCTCCATTGGCAGCTGCTGGGCACCTAATCTCTGCCAATAATGATAGTTTCCAGCTCCTTTCTTTATTGTGCATTTGTTTTTGTTTTGCCTTTTCCATCTGTCACCTGTTACTCTGGTTCAAATGAAAAACCTTTTTAATAGACATCAATCAATCTCAGGCCAGGAGAACCAACCAGTTACATGTCATATATATTTGATGTCATCTTCCCCCGAGCTGTTCATTGTTGGAGAGAAAAATGCTAATTCTTTTGGTACTATAACCTGAGCTTTCTTGAAAGCTGATAGTTTTTTGTGTCTGTGGGCTGTTTTTTTGTTGTTTGTTTTGTTTTGTATGTTTTTTACTTTTACTCAGGGCTGTTTGTATTTAGTAATTTGGAAATAAATATTTTAAGATTTTACTATCAAAAGTAGAAAAATTTCTAGTACAAAGCTCTTCTATTAATAATTTTTGAAGTTCTGAGAAGTCTTAGCTCATTACAGCTTTTATGCATCCTTTAATTACTCTTCATTCAAAGGTAGCTTTTAAAAAATATTTGTAATTGAACTTTGTATACCAGATACATATAAATTTTCATTCATAAACATTTTTGCCAAGAGTTCTGAAATGAAGGTGTGCTGAGAATATGTGTATTTTAATTTATGAATTTAGATAACAGTTCAAACTGCATACTCCTGAACAGTCGACTCAATTTAGTCTTTTCAAGTATAATAATTTCTTTTTGTTTTGTTAATCCTCGCCTGAATATACTAGTATATATTTTTTAAAATATATTTTATTGATTTTTCACAGAGAGGAAGGGAGAATAATAGAGAGCTAGAAACATCAATGAGAGAGAATCATCGACCAGCTGCCTCCTGCACACCCCCTACTGGGGATGTGCCTGCAACCAATGTACATGCCCTTAACTGGAATTGAACCTGGGACCTTTCAGTCTTCAGACCGATGCTCTATTCACTGAGCCAAACTGGTTTCGGCTAGTATATTTTTTGCATTGATTTTTAGAGAGAGTGAAAGAGAGGGAGGGAGTATAAGACAGAGAGAGAGAGAGAGAGAGAGATATGGATTGGTTGCCTCCCTAACAGGCCCCAACCAGTGCTGGGTATTGAACCTGCAATGCAGGTACATGCCCTTAATCAGGGATTGAACTCTCCACCCTTCGGTACATGGGCTGATGCTCTAGCCATTGAGTAACACCAGCCAGGGCAGGGGGACCTGTTAATGCACAGGTTTCAGATTTCAACTCTCTTTAAAGATATGTCTGAAAACCTTTGTTCCTTTGATAAGTTGAAGCTGTGTATTCTTCATATATGGGTTCAAGCTTGAATTTTCCCTGCTATTTAAATTACATAAGAAGATCATAGTTTATTGACAGATTTGAAAATGATGTATTTTTGATTTGGTAACTGAATGTACATTAAAATGCAGACTGAAAGTTAACTACACATTAAATACAGACCAATAACTGCTTTACCTTATTCTGGTATCGCAGATATTTTGCTTTAAAAAAAAAGGTTCAAATGGTTTATTTAGACAACGTTTGCATTTGATTCTTAAATGATAAGGTATTGGGCTTCTAGTTGCAAACACTTCCTCACAAATAATGCATTAGTTGGGTGGATAATCTTCATTTCTAATAAATAAAAGCTGATTAGATGTAGTCATCATTATATTTTTTTTCTTTTTTGCATGGGTATTTGAAGTACTGTGTTATCTTGATATGCTGAAACAAATTGTGGTCAAATAGATGCAATTTATACATCTGATAGTGAAGAAGAAAATGTTCAGAATTGTTAATTGTTTTTATTTTCAATAATATATACTTTGGTATTAGTATTTATTACATTTTTAGTCTTTAGCCTGTTTTGAGTTTAAATTAAATAGCATAGGACTTGGCCAGAAATTTGAAATTGTTAGCAGTATTTGGCTGAGTAATAAACTGATCAGTTTAATCGTGCATTTCATGTGATTTAAACTCTATATCAATATACATGTTCACTCTGTTAGCCTTAAAAGGTTATTTTACTATTCCTATTTTAATGAGGAAATCCTTTAGATAATTCTTACTAATTTTTTTCTTGCTTCAAAAAAAATTTTTTTAAGGTGGATACATGTAACCAAATCCCAGGTGAAGATGTAGGACAGACATTCAAGCAACACAGCATGTTGCATCCCTGACAGTTTTGTGCTCAAAGACCAACACATATGAATCTTGCCTGTTATTGAGCCTCTGGCCTCTGGCCTCTGCCTTTCAGCACACATCTTTGTTGCCTAGATTGAACACTACAGTTATCGCCTAACTACTTTCATGCTTCTGCTGTTGTGCCCCTAAAATCCATTTCTGTATATTACCCATACTGATCTCTAACACATAAGCCATGTAACTTCGCTGCTGAAAGACCTCTGATGGCTTTCTTCTGTTCTTAGAACAGCACCCCCTGGTTCTTCTTCAGCCATCGCTCATGCTTTTCTTCCCCTTGCTCTTTATGTTCTAGTCATGCTGGTCTTTTTTTGTTTCCTTGAATAAGCCTAGCACTTTCCTGCTGCCTCTCTTTTACATTTTATGTTCCTTATGTCTAAAATGTTCCTAGTTTTTTTATGGCTAACTCAATTCTCAACTTCGAGTTTCTGCTTGGATTTCATTTCCCTAGAGATGCCTTTTTTGATCATCTCATGTAATATTGGCTTGCCCACTTTATTGTATATTAATCAGTGAGTAGTTGCTTTCTTTGTCACAGCTATCACAGTCCTTATATTGTTTATTTGTTTTTTGTGTTTTCCCTAACTTGAAAGTAATCACTAACACCTTATCTGTCTATCCTACACTAGTAGTATGTCAATCTACTAGTCGCTGTGACATGCACTGACCACTAGGAGGCCAGCCTCATGTCTGTGGAGCACAGAGGTGGTGGTGGTGGGAGCCTTTCTTTCCTCCCCAGCAGTGCTAAGGACCCCTCAGGGGATGTTCAGTTGCCAGCTTAGGCCCGCTCCCCAAGGGGTCCCAGACTGCAAGAAGGCACAGGCCCAGTGCATGAACGTGGAGCACAGGGCCTCCAGGTGTAAATAATGCTGCAGTGAACGTATGGGTGCATATGTCTTTTTGGGGTTTCTTCAGATAAATACCCAGTAGTAGAATTGCTGGGTCTCTTTATGTCTCATGGTAGCCTTGGTTTTAAAGTCTTTTTAGTCTGGTATAAGTAATGCTACTTAAGCATTTTGTTTGTTTCTATTTTCATGAAATATCTTTTTTTCATTCCTTTATTTTCATTCTGTGTGTCTCTTTTCATCTGAAGTGAGTCTCTTCTAGGCAGCATATATAAAGGTCTTGTTTTGTTATCCATTCAGCTATGTCTTTTGATTGAGCATTTCATTCATTTGCATTTAAAGTGATTATTGATAGGTATATAGTTATTGCCATTTTATTACTCATTTTTTAATCCTTTTTTTTCTCTCTTTTTGAAAAAGACCTTTTAACATTTCTCATAATACTGGTTTGGTGATGATAAACTCTAGCTTTTTATTGTCTGGGAAGCTCTTTATCTGTCTTTTCGATTCTAAATGATAGCTCTGCTGGATAGAGCAGTCATTGTTATATGTCCTTCCTTTTCATCACTTTTAATATTTTATGCCAGTCCCTTCTAGGCGGCAAATTTCTGTTGAGAAGTCAGCTGATAGTCTTAAAAATACGGAATGCTTCATGAATTTGCCTGTCATCTTTGCACCAGGGCCATGCTAATCTCTGTATCATTCCAACTTGAGTATATGTACTGCCAAAGCGAGCACCCTTAATGGTTTTTAAAACATTTAAAAGTCCTGAGTTGCATTGTTGTGATCAGTTGATCCCTCACAATCATTTAGGAATCCAATCTTCTGATAAAATGTCAACTCTTGATTTCTAAGAAAGCAGATTATTTTCATTTACAAGCTTTAAATGTCTTTTTAGTATCATTACCCTCCTTAACTTAATTTTTACACTACATTTACAATTTTTTTCTGGTCTTCTTCAGTATGTAATATATTCTGAAACCAAGAGAAAGAGCAAAAGATTGCGGTTTCCTTTCATTATTTAAGCTAAATTACCAGAAATTCCCTTAAAAATGAAATATTTAGTCATGTCAAAACAAGTCTCGTTAGGGAAGAAGCCTTATTTAGCTCATGTTTTTCTTACAAGAAGTATTGATATTTTATGCAAGCATGCTGAGGTAGGAGACTTCAACTCCCAGCCAAAAACAGTACTTAACAGTACTTTCCATAGAACTGCCATAATATTTTACTAAAAGTTTAAAAATGTCTATTCCAAGGGTGGGGAAATAAGCACTCTTAACTTTAACTTAAACACTCTTGTTTTTAGTATACATTTCTGGGTTTTCTTTTCTTTTTTTTTTATAAAGTATATTTTATTGATTTTTTACAGAGAGGAAGGGAGAGAGATAGAGAGCTAGAAACATCGATAAGAGAGAAACATCGACCAGCTGCCTCTTGCACACCCCCTACCGGGGATATGCCCGCAACCAATGTACATGCCCTTGACCGGAATCGAACCTGGAACGTTTCAGTCCACAGACCGATGCTCTACCACTGAGCCAAACCGGTTTCGGCCATTTCTTGGTTTTCAGTGAGACTGTGTGTGTGTGTGTGTGTGTGTGTGTGTGGTGATGAACGCGCAGACACCCAGCAATCTGATGAATTAACCTAGAAATAAGGCTTTTCTGGTTCAAAGGGTATGCCAGACACATAAACACATATTCTGTGCACCTTTGAGACAAAAATTACACTTCTAGTATAGTTCATCATATTGTTGTTCGTGTAGTGAAAAAAAGTGAGGGGATGAGAGCCCTTCATATGCATTATTGGGGAGGGGGGGAGTAATTAAATTATGGTATAGTTATAGCATAGATTCTATAAAATGGAATATTATGTAGTCATAGCATATATTGCAATGGAAAGCTCCATGATAGTACATGAAAATTGAAGCTACTTTTTTAAATAAAAATGTATATCTGTGTGTGTAAGAAAATAGTCTGAAGAGATATAAGCAAAATAGTTATAGTGATTATTCTCATGATGATGAGAGTAATATTTTTTTTTATTTTTCTCTCTATTTAATTCTTCCCAGAGACTATTTTTTTCATAAGTACAATGTATTTAATATGAGCAAGGAGAAAAGGAAGAAAACCTATTTTCATTGCAATCACTAAAGAAGTTCAAACATAACTTTAGTCACATTTTCATGGAAGTGATTTCAGCATCAAGTGTTCTTGACATTTTGCCTTGATAACACAGCAAATACTTTTACCTATTCATATTTACAAAGCTGCCTCACTAACACCATCAACATTGTAGAGCTAAGTGATACTCAAGCCAATATTTCTGAAATTTTCATTCGATATATTAAGCAGTTGCTTAAAAGAACTAGTTTTCTTTATTAATACATTATGTAATCCTGCTCATGAGTACAATAATATGAAAATTCATGTTAATGACACGAGTATTTGTTCACAGACTATAAACAGCAGCCACTGTATGACCCTGGTCATGCTCTTAAAGGAAATATCAAGGAAGATGCACTAAAGTTGATGAGAAACCAGCTGATGTTTAAGATGTGGACAAGATGCTATCCTGCTCATGGTCAGGTTAACAATAATCCATAAATATTTTTAGAATTTTGCATCTTCAACTTTATTCCCAAATGTTTAGAGAAGGGAAAAAATGAAGACAACGCACAAAACTATTAATAAATATAGGACATGGAAAAAAGTAACTGCCATTCCCACAACCAAATGCCTAGTGTAGTTGGCCCTGTCACGTATGTCACACTCGTCTGCTGAGGCTACGTCTGCTACCCAGATTCCTCAGTCCCATTTAGCCTCAAATGAGCAAGTTTCCTACGCTGCAGGATTGCTGGCTGCAGGAGTTGCAGGATGTTATCCAACCCACAGGCCATTTGCTATTTCTTGAACCACCATACCCACTCTCACCAGCTTCACTTGTCTAGTCCATATCCTGCCTGAAATACTCTTCCCCAGATTCTTGCTTGGCAAACTCCCTTGCTCCCTTCACGTCTTTGCTCACAGGCTACCTTTCCAACAAGGCCTCCCCTGTCCTTGTAATTTCAAATTGAACCTGTGCCCAACAGCCCCTTTGCTGATCTACATTATCTTTTTCCTATTGCACTTAACACCTTGCAATAAACCTATAATTGACTGTTGACTAGAGGCCCGGGGCAAAAAATCCGGGAGGGTCCCTAGGCCGAGGACTTCCTTTGTTCCATGCCGCCCCTTGGTGGTCAGCACACGTCATAGTGAGCGGTCAAATTCCCAGTTGGTCAAACTCCTAAGGGGACAGTTTGCATACAGTAAGTCCTCGGGTTACATGGAGATCGTTGCTATGGCGCAATATAATGCAATTTTCCCATAAGTCGGAACCCACCTACACAAGCACCTGCGTCACTCACATGGAGCAATGAAAATAGGTTTTTTTCCTTTTCTCCTTGCTCATATTAAATACATTGTACTTATGAAAAAATGTCGAGAACTGCCTGTATTGGCCTTTTATTATATAGGATGTCTGTTTCCTCTGCTAGACTATCATTATTTGAAGGCAGATATCTTTGTTTTATTCATTGATATATCTGTAGGTGCCTACAGTAGTATCTAGCACATAGTAGTCTCTTATCAAATAGTATGCATTAAATGGGTGAATAAATATATGATACACGATTGTTTATTACTAGTTACTTATGCAGCGACAGGCAGTTTTCAATAGAGCTTTCAGTATTCACATAGTTAAAAGCATCCCACATTTTTGTATTTGAATAGTATTGTCAGTGAAATAGAACTGCCTTCGTCCTGAGTACTTTCTGCCTGTGAGTCAGCATGTTAGCTGTAGCTGCTTTGGTTGGAGTCAGAAATCTCTGCTGCTTGGTGTCCTGGCCCCACGGAATCTGTTGAGGTTTTCTCCTTACCTTTTGGCCTTTCTCCTGATTTCATATCTCTTGTAAAGATCGGCCTATTGGTGTTGTTCTCAGACCAGAAGCTCTGAGCAAATTCTCTGGTATCTGTTGATGACAGGAGTGACCCACTGTGTCTGTTCTGATATTTAATTTCAGAGCTTAAGAACATCATAGAAATTCTGTAGTCCAATTCATTTTAAAGTTCAAGAAACTGAAGAACCAAGAAATTAATTTTCTAAATTCACAAAACTAGCTAGAAGCAGTTCTGTGACTGGAATACTTAGTCTGGATGTTTTGCTGCTGTTGTTTGTTTTCTGTCCTTTCTATTTTTATTTTTTTTAACTTTTTTATTGGTTAATAAAATCATACAGGTTTCAAGTATATAACTCTACAACACATCATCTGCATAATGAACTGTGTGCTCACCACCCAAAGTATTTTCTGCCACCATTTTATTCCCTTTTGCCCTCTTCAGACCTCTCCCAACCCCCTTGCCCTGTGGCAGTCACCATACTGTTGTCTGTTTTTTGTTTGTTTGTTTGTTTTTGTTTAACCCCTTCACCTTTTTCAGCCAGTCCCTCAACACCCCTCCCCTCTGACAGCTGTCAGTGTGTTCTCTGTCTATGAGTCTGTTTCCATTTTGTTTGTCAGTTTATTTTGTTTATTAGATTCCACAAATAAGTGAAATCATGTGGCATTTGTCTTTCTTTGGCTTATTTCACTAAGCTTTCTACTCTCCAGGTCCATCCAGGCTGTCACAGAAGGCAAGATTTTATTCTTTTTTCCATTGTGTTATTGTACCAAAGCTTTTTTATCCACTCATCTACTGATGGACACTTGGGCTGCTTTTAAATTTTGGCTGTTGTAAACAACGCTGCAGTAAACATAGGAGTGCATATATTTTTTCAAATTAGTGTTTGTTTTTTAACTTACCACATTTCTACATCAGAGAGCAAAACCGGTTTCCTCATGCCCTCTCTATTTTGTCAACACAACTCGTTGCTTTTTCCCTTCTCCTCACTCATCTTCTTAAGGAGGGTCGCGGTTTCTCCAAATCTTATTTCCACGTATAGGACCTATTCCATCATCCCAACCTAAAGCCCTCTAACCCTTCCCCACGGGTATCTGTATTTGGGGAAGGCAGTTCCCCATTACTTTTCTAGTTCCTCATTACTGTGATCCTCAGCTTGGGGACCGGAGAAGGGATAGACTGACATCAGGTAGCTGCTGTCCTCCGTTTGACTCCTTTCTCTCTTGCCTGTCTGACCACGCCGCACCAGCACCCTGACTTGGTTCATCTCTCCTCAGGAGTTTCACCTCCCTTGATTAGTATCTCCTGCGTCTTAACTTACTGAAGCTGTGGTCTCAGTGTGCAGAAGGGGAAAGAAACACCACCCTACCTTTATCGAGTACTTTTTTCCTCCGTTATCTCCTTTGACCTTTTCAGAACCCCTTTGTGTTAAGTGGGAACAGATATTCTTGTTTCCTTTTTTACTGACAAGAAAGTGAAATACAGATCAGTAGAGTAAATGATTTACTCTGTCTTTCAAACTCTGCGTGGCTGGACTGGAAACTGAGCCTCCAAATCCTAGTTTATATCTTTTCTACAGTACCCTATTTTAGGGTTGACAGACAAAAATGTATCGCTGATCAGTATTATGAAATGCATACAATGTCTTTTCTTCCTGGAGATCTTATTCAGTCTTGTAAAGTATTGTGAGGATGTGACTCTGAGTTTCTATCTATAGCTCGTTGGTTTTAGAAAAGACCTCGGGGAGGAGGGGCTCTCTGTGAAGCATGCCCACGCCTTTCTTCCTTCTCAGGTGTGCAGCTTTACTTTTCTCTCTCAAACTCTTAAGTATCTACACGAGACTTTGCAATCACAGGAGCAGCAGGCTGCGGCAGTTCGTCCCAGGCTAACCCCTGAACCTGCCTGCAATGCACCCTTTCCTCTGACTTTTCAGTGCACTAACAGCAGCCCCACCTTGGCTCACTTCTGTTACTTTGACTGTTACTTCTCAGTGAGTCCACACTGACCTGGGTGGCTCACTTCTTTGTTTCTAGAGGGTCAAAGCAGCCCTGCCTGGGTTCTCTCCTGTTGCTTCTTCTATCCAAAACCTTTCGTTTCACTGTCCCCAGCTTTAGTAAACGTACTCTCAAAATCAGAACGGAAAAAAAAAAGACCACTGAGTTTGGCTAGTGATCTAATGGACAGGTTAGGTTCTGATACTGACTAAATTGCCATCTTTATTTAACAATTATTAAATGTTATTAAATGTAGACTTATGTTTGAAGTATTTTGTTGCCCTTCTGAGAATCTGTTGGTAATATTTATTCAGTCTTCATTCAAACAGTATACCAATTCACAAGTTTTGAAAAATCTACGTATTTTTAGTTTTCATTTAAAAATGTAATAAGCCGAAACCGGTTTGGCTCAGCAGTAGAGCGTCTGTCTGCGGACCGAAAGGTCCCAGGTTCGATTCCGGTCAAAGGCATGTACATTGGCTGCGGGCACATCCCCGGTAGGCAGCTGGTCGATGTTTCTCTTTCATTGATGTTTCTAGCTCTCTATCTCTCTCCCTTCCTCTCTGTAAAAAATCAATAAAATATATTTAATAAAAATGTAATAAATATTCTTTACGTATAATACTCTTGAAACTAAGAAGTATTTGTTACAATATTTACCACTTAATAATATAAAGTGATGTTTTATCACTTTTTTTATTACATATTGTAAACAGATTGAAATTAATTTTTAACTTAAATTCAACCAGTTTTACTGAATTGTATTAATGTTTATTTTACTTCCCTACCAAACAAAGCATTCTAAAGCATACTGTTATATATATATATATATATATATATATATATATATATATATATATATATGTATATATATATGTGTGTGTGTGTGTATATATATATATATATATATATATATATATATTCATTCTCATGAGAAAAAGAAAATGCAGTTATATCTTTGCAACTAAAACAGATTAGGAACTGACATTGTCCTAACACGATAGGCAGTGTTTGCTCCCCACAGAGCTTCTCTGTACAGCAGGTCAAGAAGGCTTGTGTGTGAAGCAGCTGATGCGTAGGTTTGTTATGCAGCTTCGTTCTCATTGCCATTTGTCCACCCAGAGGCCAAGGATACACACAATTGATGCTGTCAGAGTCCTGGATGTGGAAAACCCTTGTGTCCTGTGTTCAGAGGTCTCTGTGTGACCTGAGACCAGCAAGCATAGGCACAGTTGGTAAAGAGTACATTCATATAAAGCTCTTTGGTATAAATTTTCCAAACCCATTTCCTGCAAGATGGTAATATCCAAATTCTAGCTTTTACTGTGGATGTTGTTCTCCCCACTCATTTTGAAGTTGTTTTTATATTTCAGATTGCTAAATGGCTCACTGCCTAGAATATGCCCTCATATTGAGACCACTCTAAGTTTGATCTAGTGCCAAAGGAAGAAAAAGAGATTCTGTTGGGAATATAGTTTGTTTTACATGTTAGGGTGAGTGAGAGAACCATCTTGAAAGGATGATGAAATTGTAGAATTATTGTTGCTAACATTCCTGCCCATTTTTCCTGAATGATAAAAATTCTATACGACTCCTGCTTCAGTGAAGGCTTGGCTATGTAGTTTTCTCTTCTGATAGATTAGCTGTGTCCTGTCACATTTGTTATCACTTGTGTGCAGTTTTGCAGATTACTTCTTTTATAAATTAGAGATGCATGCTGCTTAAGGGAAAGAACACACACACACACACACACACACACACACTGGTTTATATTGCAATCACAACAGCTTTTAAAATGATGTTTAAAGTAAAATTGTTGTATAGTGAATAACAGTATAACAATTAAAGTAAAATTGTTATACAGTGAATTGTAGAAAGAACCATCTTTAGGTTCCAAAGTGATTTAGGATCTTTTTGCTTTATTCTTTTCATGTCATTTGTTATCTTTATTAGTTTAGCATTTACCAGACATGTTCATTCAGAGACACCTTATCTTAGTCTAATCTGGCTGCTATAACAAAAATACTATAGACTAGGTGGTTTAAACAATAGAAATCTATTTCTCACGGTTCTGGATGCTGGAAAGTTCAAAATCAAAGCTCTGGTAGATTCAGTGTTTAGTGAGGGCTCACTTCCCTAGTTCACAGACCATTATCTTTCTGCTGTGTCCTCACTTGGCTATAGGGGCAAGAGAGTCTCTTATTAATATATAAGGGCACTAATCCCATTCATGAGGGCTTTACCCTCATGACCTAATGACCTCCCAACAGCCTGACCTTCTAAATACCATTACATTGGGTATTAGATTTCAGAATATGAATGGGGTCGGGGAGGCACACACACACACACACATTCAATTTCTAACACACCTTTCTAGTTAGGAAGGAAAAGAAGAGATAACATCAAATTGAAATGCTTAATCCTTGTCAGGCTGAAAAGAATCCTAATTATCTTTCAACTGGCTAAACTATAAAATAATAAAAGCATAATATGCTAATTAGAATGGACAGCTGAACGACCTTCTGGACAAAGCTGGGGCTGTGAGGGCCGAGCCCCTGAATTTCGTGCACCGGGCCTCTAGTCTATAATAATAAAAGCATAATAGGCTAATTAGACTGGACAGCCAAACAGTGGAACAACTGTCTGGACGACCTTTTGGAGGAAGCCGAACTGCGAGGGCCAACCCCCTTTCATACATCGGGCCTCTAGTAGTTTTATAAAGGGATAGAGTGTAGCTTCTATTGAATGTTTTTCATCTATTGATTTCAACGAGATTTTTTCTTATTTTGGAACTAGTAGAACATGATCGATTTTGTATATTATGGAGAATAGTAAAATGCTGAGAATTATAAATTGTTTACTCAAGTATATTACCTCATCAACTGAAATGTTAAATAATATTGAGAAAGCATCTCTTATAATGAAAAAAAGTTTAAATTAATCCATCTAAGAAGATTTCTTCTGAGAATAATTTGCCAGATATATCTGGAAAGGTAAATTGATTTTAAAGGGTGTGTAATTAATTAAAAGACATCATTTTAAAAAACCTGTATATGATTCACTGTGGGAGCCTCTGCTGAATGCCCTGAGGTAGATATCTGTCAAGCCAGTGGGCAGATAATTTTTCATGTAACAAAAGAGAATATTTGTAGTAGAATATAGAGAAAATATATTTTACCTGAAGTTTGTGCTAACTTTTACAGTATATGTGTATTTTGTTTATTCTCTCCTAGGTATGAGAAAGTGCCAGTCATCTTGGTTGGGAACAAGGTGGACCTGGAAAGTGAGAGAGAAGTGTCATCCGGTGAAGGCAGAGCCCTTGCTGAAGAGTGGGGCTGCCCCTTTATGGAGACTTCTGCTAAGAGCAAAACAATGGTGGACGAACTCTTCGCAGAAATCGTGAGGCAAATGAACTATGCTGCGCAACCTGACAAAGATGACCCGTGCTGTTCTGCATGTAACATACAATAGCATTCAGAAATGCCTATCCTGGGCAGGCTTCGCCCAGCATCATGGGCGATACAAGCCTCGTCTGCCCGATGGCAGAGTTTGCAGGATGTGTGGTGTGAATCTGTGGTGAAATAGCAGCCCTCACTCAGAATTCAGCAGTGATTGTCCATTGATATCTCTGAGTAACATTTGGGTTCAATACCTACAGTTTTCACCATTGTCCTCAGTCTCCTATACGCACCTGCAACTTTGAGGCCTAGCCAATCGATCTACAGGGTGATCTCCGTTGAAAGCAATGATGGCATTGTCGCTGAGTTGACCGAAGCAACTATTGTATAAATTAAAAGTAATCATGAGAGAGAAACCGGAAGAATTCCTATGACCACTACAATTAAAATATTTTATCTTCTGTAAAAAAAAAATAAGTAAAGGAGAAATATTTTCCTACAAGAGTACTGAATTTCAGGAATTGAGATAGTGCTTCTAATCAATGTATTCTGTCAAGTAAGATAACAGCCGACCTGCCAACAGCATTACAGGGAGAGATTCTTTGCTCAACTGACACATTTCTGTTTTTCAAAATTGATGCTTAATTGTAGATGTTATCCTAATTTGTGACACACAACTAACTGATGCATCAGTCCTTGCTAGAGCAAAAGTCAAAACAGGTTTTGAAAACATTCAATCTCACTTTAGAAGTGTAAAGTCACCTGCTTTGCCACAGAAAATGGAGGCTCTCACAAGGGTTTGATCTGAATTAAAACCCCAAACCCACCCTCTGGTAATCAAGCAGATAATGGTTTTTATTACATTTTTGAACAAGAAGGAAACAACTGTGATGCAAAGAGACTGCGCAGCCTTACTAACCAGAAGCGTTCTAGTAGTAGCTGAACTAGTACCATCATGTAAGGAAAATGAAGCCATGTTGCATCCACATGTTCCCGTTTGCAGAAACCTCACAGGACAGTACAAGTATTTTGCATTTTTATGTTTGTTAAAGCAGCAAATTCCTTCTTGCCTTTAAGGGCTATGGTTGTGGTGTGATTCTTGGTTAAACTGCTTTCCAAATCAAGTTGGCTTGTAGCAGAGCTTTATTGCAGGCATTTAAAAAGATTGAATAACCATGTGAAATAATTTGGGCTTAAGAATAGAACATAAATTATAAAATGGAAGGTAAGAGACAAAAAAAAAAATCTTTTATCTTTAATTTTTCTGGAGAATTATTTAAAAATTTTCCTATAACAATTTTGCCCTGACTACTGAAGTGGCAAATAAAGCTAGAGAATACTTTGTTTTGAAAAGGTGCTCAAGCTTCAACGTTTCTGATTTGCATAGCCGTGAAGTATTTATCGTTTGCATGACTAATGGCACAGGAAGAACCTATACAGTCAAGCATAGGAAGGGTTTTTACCTAACCTCAGAGTTATAAATGCTGAAGAGAATACCTTAAGCTGATTCGAAAGGTAAATTTGGCCTTCGGAGCTGCAATATCGCTGAGCCTGTGGCCTACATACCTCCCCACATTTTGTTTCACACTCTTGTGCGAGTAACCTCTGGTCTTACGTGTGTAACTGAGAGAATAGTGTGTGTTGTGTGTGCATGTGTGTTTATCGTTCCTAAGAATTTGGCACAAGTCAGAGATGATTGCCTATACTGAGAATCCGTGCTGCAGAATATAATGTATCAAAAACATCTTTTTCTTTTAAATTATTTTCGTGTTATTAAACATCATTGAAATTATTGGTAGGCCCCAGTGTTTAGTAAACTGGCATTAAGCTTAAAGGATAGAAAAAAGGCGAATAGTAACTTCTTATAGACAAGAAAACAAGTGTGTGGGTAAAACCAGGCCAGGGTTATTAAGTCTTTGAATTATGAATGTTCCCATTCTTCAATATAGATTTTTTTAGGAACCCCCCATTATGAAGCACCTTGTTTATAGGACAAAAAGTGCTAACTAACTTCATTGAAGCAGATTTCATTGTGCAAAAAAGTTGATTTGACTCAACCTGTAAAGAAATCAAAGGTTTAAGAAGTGTAATTTCTCTACTGAAATATAAATATTTGTTAGTGAATTGGTTGAGTTCTGAAGCCTCTAACTTCTCAGAATGATAGAATTCCACATTTAACAGCAATTTATGACAACTAAGATTCAATATTAGAAACATCTATAAAGATTCTACAGTTTTACCTAGTAAGATTGCTACACAGATAAGAAAAATAAGTTTAATAATATGAAAGGTATGGCAAAATGTAAGGTGAAAAAATTATTTTAAAATTGGGGATTTAGAAGTGTTCATGTCAGACAGTAAGGTGGGCTTTCATTGTAAAGATGTTAATAGTAACTGGCTTGGCTGCCTGATCACAGTGTTTCCTCTGTACCTGGTGACAGAACGTCAGCAGTGATATCCAGAAAGGTGGAAACCCTCGTGTGCTCTTACTGTTGGCATTCCAGCTGGAATGAATGTGTTTGTTGAGATATTAATAAAAAGCTTAAGAACAAGAGTTTTAAATTTGTTGGCACATGAAATAATACTGGCTACAGAGAAAAGTTGGTGACCTTGTGTCACTATTATTTTATGCCCTGATCAGACTAGCAACTATTGTAGATACTAAGAGGGAGTTTTTCTAACATGCCTTAAAAATATTATGGTTTGATCCAAAGACCCACTTTTTTTTTTTTTTTTTTTTTTTTTTTTTTTTTTTTTTTTTTTTTTTTTTTTTTTTTTTTTTTTTTTTTTTTTTTTTTAGTTATAAGTTTTGTTGGTTTTGTTTTGTCTTGTTTTACTTTTATACAAAGGCAACATTTGTTAAATTTTTTCTGTTGTTTTATGTTGCAGCTTTTTTTTTGGTTCCTTTAAACTGTGATAGTGACGGTAACTGATGCTTTTCATTTTGTTCAACTTACACAAAACAAGCCAGCATCTGATCAAAAGTATTACATCAAATTCTTCCTTACACAATTGAAAGGTGCTTTGAAGATTTTCTCCTTTGGTTTGTAGAATTAGGACCGAGCGTGACTCTAATTACTACAGTTGCCATCACTTTTCTGTGGTAAAACTACTGATATTTGCTTTTCTATATAAAAAAAAAAAATGTTGCCTAAGGATGTCTGCTATTTGTTTTTAAGAGTTGTCCAGTGGGAATGTTGTCAGTTTATATGTCAATATAAAAGTGCTTATTTTGTTCATTGCTGTTGGTTTTTGTTTCTTTTGTTTTTTAGTTTTTTATTCTTCTCAGTAGTCCTATGTTAGCACTGGGTAAGCTTTAAATGTCTCCTTAGCCAATCAAATCTTAAAGACTATAGGGGGTCTTTTCTTTTTTTAATTAACGTGTCATTGTGCATCTATTAAATCTTGATCAGGGTTTCAAGAATGACTGCAGTGGATTTTGGAAACAGACTTAACATTATTATTTTGGGGTTTCCCAGAGATAAATATAGTTCACAGTTAATTGTTGAGCTCTAATACAACTGACCATTTAAAATTTAACAACAGTTTATTGTTTTGTAACAATGTCAGTTGTTAAACCTTGACATTTCAATTAAAACACGAATTGTAGTTACAACTCAATGCAAATTCAACAGTTGTATTTGGAGTTAAATTATTTTAACAAATAAATTTATTTAATGAAATTTTCTCTGGATTTTATTTGGTTTTGTACAAGTTCATGATTGATATGTATTTGCCACATACAAAACAAGTAGAAATTGCCACCAAATGAAATTAATACTTTTCATACAGAGATATTCAAGCTGAATAAAATTGAGAATTCATCATATTAAAAGGGAGGTTAGGATATAATTTTCATACCCTTTATAAAAAAGTAACAAGATTTCAAAATCAGTAATCACAAATACAAGTAAACTTATCTCCTAAATAGTTTTATCGATATACATATTTTATTTTCATTTTCTGCCCACAAGATTATTCAACACAAAATAATGCTATCTGGCTAACTTGAAATCTCAAAGCTAATCTTAACAGAATTGTTCTAGGTAATGGTAACATTAATTAGCAGTTGCTTTATGGTCCTGCAAGTGTCACCAAAACTATCAGTGTCCTTCCAGTGATGGATCGGAGCTATCTTTCTGGTCTTGAGGAGTTTGAGGGGCCAGAAGCTGGAGTAGCTGCCCTGCAGAGCTGGGGACCTGCCTGTTCTACACGGGCCCTCCCAGTGAACGTGGACAGATGCTGTTAATTATATACAGCTTCAGCTGCTCTGATAAGCAGCCCATTCATTCCCAAGCCAATTTAAACTACGCCTTTTGGTTATGTTGCCTTCAATCTCTGTTGAAATCCCCTGGCAACATTCCACCAGTGTAGAAGCTCTATTGTTTTAGGATATAAGAATCATTTGAACGAAGATAACAGAGGTACTGTCCACAGAACCTCAAATATTTAAAGGAAAATGTTGCCCATGTTTTAGCACCGTAGATAAATATCTGCTGGTTAGCTTTTATATTCTCATTTGAAGAATTTGTCAAGTATTTAAATTAATCAAATTCTTTCAATTGGAAGAATTTCTTTTTTTTTTTTTAAACATTTTATTGATTTTTTACAGAGAGGAAGGGAGAGGGATAGAAAGTTAGAAACATCGATGAGAAGAACATCGATCAGCTGCCTCCCGTACCCCCCACTGGGGATGTACCTGCAACCAAGGTACATGCCCTTGAACGGAATTGAACCCAAGAAAGACCCTTGAGTCTACAGGCTGATGCTCTATCCATTGAGCCAAACCGGTTTCTGCGGAAGAATTTCTTTGTGACAAAAAATTTAAAAAAAAAAAATAGTATTTTGAAATTCAAGTTACACAGTTTATTGGTTGTTAGAGGTCCATGAGTGGACATACAAGCAGCTGAAGAAATAAGGTGCCACCCGATTTGGAGCCCATCTGACCTCTGGGACCTTTCTTAATTTCAAATATCCCTGTTTCCATATAAGTACTAATAAGACGTAGTGGCACTTCATTGGTTAAATGGGTTTGGTTTTGTTTTTCTGGTGTTTGTTAGTTTTAAATCTTTTATGGTATTAGATTCTTAAAGATCCGCTCTTCCAGGTGTAAGGTGATGTGTTATTTCTTGTGATATTTTCTTAGAACTGATCTTCATGTTAGTGTCTAAGAATTCCTCCCAGGACTTACTAGTGGAGAAGGGAGAAGATTATCTGCTTAAAAAATTAAATACAAACACCTTTTTAAGTACACACAAAGTAGGAAAAACGGAAGCTAAAGAAATGATACTTGGTTTAGGGGAATTTTTTATAAGCTCCCATTTCAAAAACTCAAAAGTATCAGTCCCAGCCAGTTTGGCTCAGGCCTTCAGACTGAAGGGTCCCGGGTTCGATTCCAGTCAAGGGCTTCTACCTTGGTTTCAGGCTTGATCATCGGTGTGAGGGTGCGGGAAGCAACCAATTGATGTATCTCTCTCATTGATGTTTCTCTCTGTCTCTCCCCCTCCCTTCTACTTTCTCAAAATCAATGGGAAAAATATCCTCTGGTGAGGATTAACAAAAACAAAAAACACTCAAAGGTATCATGTTTCATTGCTTTATCATATGATTACAATTTTACAATGACAGTATGTGGGCTATAACAGATTTTTATCTTTAAAAAATCATATATTAGTGAAAACAAAACAAAACATTAACATTTGTAAATCATTCCAAATATATTTCTATGTAGATACACACAGACATAGGTAGAAGGATGAATAATTCCATGCTACTCATGAGAAACTGGCGATAAATCATCCAAGGTCATTTGACTAAAAAAGTTGCAGAGTTAAGGTGCAGACCCAAGCTTCTAACTTTAAATCATCTTTTCCTCACTGTTAATTGTTATAGTGAATTAACCCAGGCTCATTCAGCTCTTATTCATTGAGAGTTACACCTCCGTTTAACATGATGCAGCAATACACAAATAGGAAATACATAATCCCTGATATACAGCTTAGTTTTGGCTGCTATAACAAAATACCATGGATTGGGTAGCTTATACAACAAACACTTATTTCTCACACTTCTGGAAGCTGGGAAGTCTATAATTGAGACTGACATATGTAGCCCTGCTGGTGTGGCTTGGTGTTTGAGCATCCACCAAGAAGCAGGAGGGCACAGTTCAATTCCAGGTCAGGGCTCATGCCTTAGTTGTGGGCTCCATCCCCAGTGGGAAGGGTGCAGGAGGCAGCAGATCAATGATTCTCTCTCATCATTGATGTTTCTGTCTCTCTCCCTTTCCCTTCCTCTCTGAAATAAATAAAAATACATTTTTTTTAAGTGACAAAGATCTGGTGTCTGGTTAGGATTCATCTCCAGGTTGCAGACTGACTTCTCACTGTAACCTCGTTTGGAGGAAGAGAGAGACAGCTCTCTGAGGTATCTTTAATGATGACACTAGACCCATGTGGGGCCCCACCCTCATGCCTAGTGACTTCCCAATACCATCACACTGGGGGTTAGGTGTCACGGTATGAATTTTGAGGGGATTCAGCCATTCATTCTATACTAGTATATGGCACTAGTCTTGTCTCCTTGCTTTTCCCTTTACCTCAAGAAGATACAAATTAGCCCTACTGGCAAGAAATCATTCATTTGTACCTTTTCTACTTCTGCCTACCAGTACTCCAGTAACGCAGGCCAAGCCGGAGTCCTGGGCACAGCCCACAGAGGCTGCTGCTGGCTCAGTTCTCTCATCAGCCAGCAG